AGGGAAAAGGGAGGGGAAAAAGAAGGGGAGGTAAGAAGAGAGATGAAAAAAAGGAGATACTGAAAAGGAAATGAATGAGAAAGAATTGAGTGGGACGAACAAAAGAGACGAATCCTTGGTGGAGAAAAGTAAAATGCTGGAGGAGAGGAGGGAGGTGTTGGGCGTGGTTAGGAGGAGGAAGAGGAGGAGGAGGAGGAGGAGGAGGAGGAGGAGGAGGAGGAGGAGAATAAAGAAGAGGAGGAGGAGGCGGAGGAGAATAAGGAGGAGGAGGCAGAGGAGAATAAGGAGAAGGAGAAGGAGGAGGAGGAGGGGGGGGGAATAGGAGGAGGAGGAGACGGAGAAAGAAGAAAGAAAAAGAGGAGGAGGAGAAAGGGGTATAAGAGAGAGATGAGAAGAAGGGAAGGAGACGGAGAAAAAGAACGAAGAAAGGGGGGGGGAGCTGGAGGAAAAGGAGAAGTAGAAGAAAAAACGCACAGGGAGAAACAGAAGAAAAAGTTGTAATACGAAGGAAAAGAGAAAGGGAAAGAGAAGAAAGGGGTAGTGGAACGGGGGGGGGGGGGTGTAAACCAATGAAAACAACAACAACAATAAAGATCTACGAAAAGGGGAGAGAAAAGGGAGAGGAAACAGGGTGCGAAAAATAACCCCGCCGAAGATGAACTCCGCGGAAGACACGAGCCAGACGCCTGGCAACAGCAGAAGGCCCTTAACGAGACACTTCTTCGAGACCGAGACCGGGAGCGAGATCGAGACCGAGACCGGATCTGAGATCAAGACCGAGACCGGGAGCGAGACCGAAACCGAGATCGAGAACGAGATTGAGAACGGAAGCGAGACTGAAACCGAGACCGAGACCGAAACCGAGAAAGGGACCGGTACTGAGAACGAGACCGGGAACGAAACCAAGACCGAGAAAGGGACCGGGACTATGACCGAGACCGGGACCGAAACCGAGTCCTGTGCCCGGAGGAGGAAGAGAACTTCGGGTAAACAGAATGAGGGTTAAAGGCAAGTGGAATTCAATTCCCTTGCTCATATGATGCTTACGGAAACAGGCCTTTTAATACTTGAGTGTGCAGTGAGGGCTTGTAAAGACACAGTGGAGGAGGGAGGGAGGGAAGGAGGGAGGGAGGGAGGGAGGGAGGGAGGGAGGGAGGGAGGGAGGGAGGGAGGGAGGGAGGGAAGGAGGGTGGGAGGGAGGGAAGGAGGGTGGGAGGGAGAGCGAGGGAGGGGGAGAGTGAGGGAGTGAGTGAGTGAGTGAGTGAGTGAGTGAGTGAGTGAGAGAGAGAGAGAGAAAGAGAGAGAAGAGAGAGAGAGAGAGAGAGGGAGAGGAAGGAGAGGAGAGGAAGGGAGGGAGAGGAAGGAGAGGAGGGAGGGAGGGAGGGAGGGAGGGAGGGAGGGAGGGAGGGAGGGAGGGAGGGAGGGAGAGAGAGAGAGAGAAAAGACAAATAATAATAATGACAAACTCACACTTTATTTTTTTTCTCTCTCTCTATCCCTCACTGTCACAAATTCCATATCTACTGTAAGGTATAATGTTTCCATACAACCAAAAAAAAAAAAATCCCTCTCTTTCTCTCTCCCTCTCCCCTTCCTCCCCCTCTTCCCTCTTCCTCCACCAATATAACTCCATCTAGTAAACCTTCCATCAATACGCGCCATTTACACCCCCTTTCTTTCTTTACATTTTGGCAAACCATTTTTTCATTTCTTAAAGTGACGGAAAACGGAAGAGAAAACGGGAATCAAATAATCAGAGCCCCGATAGAAAATGGGACTCATTATCTCGAACTCCAATCGCAGGGGGAACTAAGGAATATTTCGTTCTCGTACTTGCCTCCCTGCTATTTTTTCCCTGATCGATCCTAAAAGATTTTCCAAATATGTCATCAGCGGCAGAGTCCCAAATACGTATATTCATCCATATCATCTATTTCGAATAATTCAATTTTTCACTTTTCTTACTTTCTATTACATCTTCTGCCTTTATAATAACACTATATGTCAAAAAATAGACTCATGATGGACACATGCCACAACACACACGCACGTGTCAAAACGCATTAAAGATAAAAAACAACAACGTAAAACTAGAAAATAAAAGAATGGCGACAGAGTGAAAGAGAAGAGAGATAATGAAAGGGACGATGACAATGATTAATAAAAATGAAAAAAAAATAGGAACAGAGAAGAGAGGGAAGGAGATGAGAAACGCCCAAAGCGGAAAAAGGCAAAGAAGAAAAGAAGAAAAAAGGAAAGAAAAAAAACACGAAAAACTTAAAAAGAAGAATAAAGAACGAAAAATGCACAGAGAAGGAGAGTGGGGGAGGGGGAGGAGGAGGAGGAGAAGAAGGAAGAGGATAGAGAAGGAGGACGAGGAGGGAGGAGAAGGAGGAGAAGGAGGAGGAGGGAGGAGGAGGAGGAGGAAGAGGAGGGAGGAGAAGGAGGAGGGAGGAGAAGGAGGAGGAGGAGGAGACGGAGAAGGGGGGAGGAGGAGGAGAGAGGAGGAGAAGGAGGAGGAGAAGGAGGAGGAGGAGGAGGAGGAGGAGGAGGAAGAGAAGAAGGAGGGAGGAGAAAGAGGAGAAAGAGAAGAAGGAGAAGAAGGAGGAGGAGGAGGAGGGAGGAGAAGGCGGACAGGCAGCAGCAATAGCAGAACAGGAAACTCGAGCCGTAAAACAAAGCAAACTGCGCCGCTCGGCAGTCTCGGCAACTTTTGAGAAGGACAATCGGCTCAAGAGACTTATCTCCGGAATAAAACTCTGGGCGGGGAAGAGGGGGGGAGGGGGGGAGGGGTAGGGGGATGAGAGAGGTAGAGAGGGATAGAGAGGGGGGGAGAGGGGGAGAGAGGGGTAGGGGAATGAGAGAGGGGGGGAAAGGGAATGGGAGAGAGGAGAGAGAGGGTGGAAGAGGGGGTGGGAGAAGGGGAAAGGGGGGAGGGGGAATTCTTAAAAAAGACGTTCCTTAAGCGTGTGACAAATCTGCTTTACATTAGGAGAGGGAGAGGGGGGAGGGGGAGGAAAAAAGAAGGGTAGGTAGAGGGAATAACTTAGAGGGAGAGGTAAAAGGAATAAGGTAAGGGAGATGATGATGAAAGTACGAACGAACACAGAAAATCAAGAAGTAGGAAGAGGAGGAAAGTAAAGGAAATAAAGAGAAGGGCGAAGTAGACGGAATAAAAAGAGGGAGAAAGAGAGAAAATAAGGAGTAGAAAGGAGGAAGAGGAAGAGGAGTAGAGAGGGGGAGGGGGAGGAGGAGGAAAAGGAGAAAGAGAAGGAATAAGAGGAGAAGAAAAAGAAGAAGAAGAAAAGAAGAAGAAGAAGAAGAAGAAGAAGAAGGAAGAGGACTAACATAGGTGGAAAAGATTATCCAATTACCCCCCCCCACCACCACCACGGACATTCCAGAAAGCCCTTCTACGCCTCATTATGCAATTAATAATAAGGTTGCTAGGAGGGTGGCGAGCGTCCGGAGTGCGTTGGTCCCGGATGGAGAGGAGGAGAGTGCGTGGAGATGTCTAGGGATTCGTGGGGTGTCACTCTCTCTCTCTCTCTCTCTCTCTCTCTCTCTCTCTCTCTCTCTCTCTCTCTCTCTCTCTCTCTCTCTCTCTCTCTCTCTCTCTCTCTCTCTCTCGCTCTCGCTCTCTCTCTCTCTCGCTCTCTCGAAGAAGAAGAAGAAGAAGAAGAAGAAGGAGAAGAAGAAGAAGGAATAGGAGGATAAAAAAGAAGAGTAAGAAGGAGAAAAGAAGAGGAAGAAGATGAAAAAGAAGAGACTAGGAAGAAGTAGAAAGAGAAAAATATGAAAAAAGAAATATAATAAAAAAAAGAAAACCAATAAAAAAGAATAAGAAAAAGAAGAAAAAAACAACAACAAGAGTAATAGGGTTTCCTACATCTACGAAAGTTTGATTCCTACGAAATTGGAGATCCCGGGTGTTCTATCTATCAAAGAAATCGACAGGCCTGTTAGCGAAGATTCTTAAAAAGAACAATATAACAACCATTACTTACACAAACGACATTATCTAAAAAAAAAAAAAGAGGAAAAAAAAAAAAACTTCCATGTCCTTTTCGGCATTTCCTTTTTTTCTTCCCTCCCACCCCCCCTCGACCGAACTGGCGGTAATGAATCAACATCAATAATAACATAAATAACAGACTACACGACCCCGCTCCTTGAACACGAAAAAGGGAGCAACTAAACCTACTTTTCCTACGTAACAATCCCATTAAAAAATAATACTAATAAAAAAAATAAATAAATCAAAACATAAAAAAATAAAATTAACAAGACCCGCTAATATTATTGTTAAATTAGCTTCTAAACTAGCTACATAAACAATAGTCCATTTATTCAATAACATCTATACCAGCCCCCAGCCCGTACGCATCCAAATGAGAAATTTCATAGAGGGGGCGCATTGGTCTACCGATTTACTTGTTGAGAGTGACCGAGTTCGATTTTTTGACAGAGTTCGAATCCGTTTTGGACTGAGTTCGAATCTTTTTTTGACTGAGTTTGAAACCTTTTTTTGACTGAGTTCGAATCTTTTTTTGACTGAGTTTGAATCTTTTTTTGACTGAGTTTGAATCTTTTTTTGACTGAGTTTGAATCTTTTTTTGACTGAGTTCGAATCTTTTTTTGACTGAGTTCGAATCTTTTTTTGACTGAGTTCGATTTTTTTTTGACTGAGTTCGAATCATTTTGACAGAGTTCGAATCCTTTTTTGGATAGAGTTTGAACCCTTTTTTGACTGAGTTCGAATCCCTTTTCGAACAGAATTCAAGTCCCTCTTAAGACAGAATACGAATCCTTTTTGGACAGAATTCGAATCCCTTTCCTTGACCGTATTCGAATTCCCTTTTGGCAGAATTCGAATGCTATTTTGACCAAATTCGAATCCCCTTTTTGGACAGAATTCGAATCCTTTCTCCCCAGTACGCGCAGTAACCCCCCCCCCCCCGCCCGCCCGCAAAACGCACCGTATCATCCACTGTACTCAC